CATATTTTGCTGGGTATGTGCAGCTGGCTTCTCAGAACCTCTTCCGTATTTTAGCCTATGTTGTGACTAATAAAAGACCCAATCTTTGTCCGCTTTTAGGCAAGACCGGAATGGAATGGGAGTCGTTTATTGAATATTAAAATACGGTAACAACTTTTTTACCATTAATTTCCTGTTTATAAATCCTTACTTACCATAATTTTCTTACGCCTAAAATCTCAAAAATGTGTAACTCCATTCTAGTAACTATATTGAAAATAGCTGAAAATGCAACGCCATAAAAGTCAATGCTGCCGTGAAAATGCGACCCTATCCAGAGGCACATTGTAAGCCTATCTTTAGGAATTTTAACCGTTACTCCCTCCCCCCCTATCTTCTCTAAATTAATATTTAAGTGGTAGAAATGGCAAAGAGTGATCAGGCAAAATATCGCACATAATCACTCCAGGTTGACAATAACCATTCTGTCTTGCACTGCTAATACCGTGATTGCAGCATTCCTACGTGCGTAAAGTGCTCGTAAACCCGCGTGTAGCAGAAGAGGCCAATTACTCGCAATTTCTCGTAGTTTTGAATTTCCCTTTTGTTTTTCAGAACACCCATATATCTGCACTTTTTTACACGGATGCGATAGAAATTAATTGGAAAAGCATTCCTTGAAATAGGAAGTCTTTCTAGGAAGTTTTCAGCGAAAAAGATCAAAACAACACCGGCCAGATTATAGTCACGTGCTCGGAAACGACTTGTAGAAAGCGATCATCTTTCATTCTTACGATCAAAACAGTCACGTTTAGGAGGTTCTTTTATGGAAAAAATATCGAACATGGATACATTAATGTTATGTTCAATTACGTTATTGTTATGCGTTATAATACAAGTCTTAAAATAAAATAAATCAATTTCATCCGGAATACATCGATTTTGGATGTCATACATCGAGGTTGTGCAACATACATCGCTTTCCTGACTCATTCACGCGTGACCTTATATAACTAAAAGATGTTCAATAAAACTAAAAGATGAGGTAGCGGAAATAGAAATGACTGGAAGTCAGATTAAACAAGAAGCCCCGGAAACTAACACTTTCAAAATGGCGGAAATAGAGGCAAATGATCAGTGAAGTTTGAGAAGCACTATGCAAGGTGCACGGATTTGGCTGCCCAACATCGAAGGATTTTTTACGTCTTTGGGTAGGCTACTGGAAAGTGCAGAAGGGCAAAGGAACACTGCGTCCTATGACTTGGCTGAATTTTTTAGTCGCCGTTTACGAGAAAACGAACTTTTTGAAAACAAAGTGAATAGTCCCAAAGGTAATCTATTGTTTGCGATATTTTTTTCTTCTAACAAAAGACTGTATGCACAATGAAGTATGGGGCTGTGCGGAAACTTTGCCCGGAGATCACCTCAACTTCATTTGGTAAGGCTTCTTCTATTCTTAGAGTCAAAGTGACAAGAGTTATTTCGTTTTCTCGTAAACGGCGTCTTGAAAGTGTTAGTTTCCGGGGCTTCTTGTTTAATCCGACTTCCGGTCATTTCTATTCCCGCTTCCTCATCTTTTAGTTTTATTGAACATCTCTTAGTTTTATAAGGTCACGCGTGAATGAGTCAGGAAAGCGATGTATGCTGCACAACATCGATGTATGGCATCCAAAATCGATGTATTCCGGATGAAATTGATTTATTTTATTTTAAGACTTGTATTATAACGCATAACAATAACGTAATTGAACAAAACATTAATGTATCCATGTTCGATATTTTGTCCGTAAAAGAACCTCATACACGTTTGCATAAGAGAACAACAAGACGAAACGATTACAACGAAAAGACCCAAATCAGCGTACAAAGAAATAATGCTGCAAATTAACATTTTTTTTATGTCATGGGTACATGTTTCCGAAGGAATTTCTATGTCAACAGCTCGCTCAAACTCTTCGTGATTCTCGCTGGTCCTCGTTATGTTTAGAGCATGGACGATTCGAAGACCCTTTAAATTTGGTTTTTAAGTTGATCATAACACTAATCTGAAACATTCGAAGTCCATTTCATTATAGCAAATGTCGAAACAGGCGTGTTAAGACAAATATCGTAACGATCAATGCAATCACATTGGCGCCAGGACTTTGGACTTCTTCGGAAGGATAGATCTCGAGTTCGAAGCCGACCAATTACGAAGAGTCCACGCTAATTTGCATATCCTAAAGTGCCCTCTACAACTCGTTTCTACGTTATCGTGTATCCACGAGTTAAAAAGTAGTAGCAGAAACTTTTTAATTTTTTTTTCAATGAATGTTACGAAAATATTTACTGCTCCAAGAATTTCCAGTATTGCCGTATGAGCAAATAAATAGCCTAAGCCACCAAGAGGTAATTTATCTGTTGAAAACGATGACCAAACGTTCAATAACACGCCAAAAAGCTTCCAGGGAAGGAAGGAGGGAAGGAAAGGCAAGTGTTACTTTTGGAACAAAGATCATGTTCGATCCCTACTGTGTCTATAAATTTAAGTCCATTAATGTATAAAATGGAGAACTTCAGCATGATTCAAGTTGTAAG